TGGTGATGCACAGGTAAACTACTGTCGATTTCTGTTAGGGGTGATGTTATGTTTCAGTTTTCCACGTTTCTTTTTCGTCATCATTGCTTTTTTGCATTATTTGTAACTTTACAAAGACGTTTGCATGTGAAGTCTACTGTGGAACTTAACTGGCTGACTTCTGATGAGCTTTTATATTATATTCTCGCTCTCAAATGTATAATATCTATCATATTATATTTTAAAATTTTATTTACACACCATGACAACAGCGTAACGCGATTGCGCGTCCCATTCAATTCATCCCTTTTGCTCGCTCTTGCGTGACTTCTTTCCAAATTCTTTGTATACATTCTATGAATCATACCGCAACATAACTGTAAACAACAAGGCTCGCAGCAGAGGCTCTCTAATCACTAAAAATTGGCGGCTCTGTTCATCCCTGTTTCTTCTTGTTCTCGCGATTGTGTAATCAAAAAAGAATAGTAGAAGTCAATAGAAACCTACAGCTGCAAACCTACAGGGCAGCTTCTCTTCGTAGCACACTGCGTCAAAATACTTCAAGATTCATTACAGATATAACAAGTAAAATTTGCTTTTCATAACCATGACAAGTTATTTTGATCGGAATTGCTGCTATATCCCCGATCAATTTAAACGCAATGAATATTACCATTTTGACTTGTTTTTATTGGATAACTGCTATTTTGCGCCGCAGTTCGCGTTGCGAAAGTTATCACAAGAATGCTGAGCGGGCAAAACTTTCAAAATGAATATTGTTGAAATGGTGAAGATGTACCATTTATGTTCTGCCTATCACTCGAAGTCGAAGAGTTATCACTCGAAATTAGCGGATGTGAGTTGAGGCGGCCGTGCTCGCAGAATAGCTCCTATCTCTCTTGGCCGAAAAGCCGACGCGCGTCAACGTGTTAAAGACTAGTCATAAACAACAGTCTCCATTTACTTTCGCTCTGCTCTTCGTGGTACTATGGTTTTTAGGAATGACTTGTAATTCTTTTTTTTCGATGAGAAATAGAAAATGTCGGCACCCTAAATAAAAGACCCATTACTGTAAGCGACCTATGGATTGCTCACAGTAGCTGTCTTGTCTCAGGTAAAGATATTTGTTCTACCCAGCCGGGCCGTAATTATATTTCGGTTCAGATTTATACGTTCAGTAGGTGGTCCACTAGTTAATTGTGTATAAAGATCAATGTGATACCATAATCGTCACCTTAGGGCTACTGTTTGAGTGATTGCTGCGATATGAGAATTTTTGCATGATTCAGATCACTCTCAACGATCTCTTGACAAAAGGTTCTACTCGAAAGACTGCTGCGCAGAAATTCTACACATTGTTGGTGTTAAAGAAGTCGCAAGCGATCAACGTTGAGCAGCATGCACCGTACGAAGATATTTATATCTCTGCTGGCCCTAATATCGCTCAGGGACTCACTAAATAAATTTGATAACTTTCCCACTAATTCGGATGTGTTTTATTGCGGTTACGAATACATAGTATCACCATTAGAGCCATTAACACTCATTGGATTTATTTGGTCACTATCATGAAGCGTTTTACTCTGTGTACGGTCACTATTTTCTTCGATGTACTGGCTCACACGTAACCCTTATTGTGTCCTCTCTTTAATTTAAACGTATTGTGAAATAAGATCTCATTGAAGACGCTGGATAGTTAAGAATTACAAATCACATGGTGAACTAATATGAAGGAAAACTGTGTTCTGTTGTAAATAACACCTCATCTTTTTTAATCTCGCGTTTCATCATCAGAAAGTACTCTTATGCGTTCTCAAATTAGGTTCTTGGTTCAGTAATGTATGTGTAGTAATTATGTCATTTATGCCATTTATTGATTTTGTTCAAATTTCAACCTCTGCTATTAAACATTGGTGTACGTTTCTTGTGTTTAAGTTCTCTTCGCCTATCTTAGTGGTAGCTATTGCGATCGATCCCGTAGCGTAAAGGCCGCGGTCGCAGTGGCTGCGAGACGGAGAGGAGGTGGAAACGTTTGCTGGAACAGATGAGGGGGAGAGATCTTCCTACCTTTGTCTGCGCGCCAGAGGCGTGGTAAGGTCACCCTTCGGCGGCTTTTCACAAATGACGTGCCCAAGTACGCGCTCCAGTCGTCGCGAGTGCACCCCTTTAAAAGGTTGGGTTGGTGTGTGCTGGGAGGGCGAAGGAGAGGGGGAAGGCGGACTGTGACACTTATATGTGAATATGTGAAACACATAATCTTGGACATAAAATTCCTACATCGGTCCGCTTCTAAAGCTGTTCTTAAGATTTTTGCGGCATTTACATAGGTGGGCGCAGCAGTTGTATAATTTGAGTATCCCGTTTCACCCATCACCTGCTTTCATCAATCTTTGATGAAAGCAGGTGATGGGGGAAACGGGCCACTCAAATTAAGAGGTTTTAAGACAGGGTACACGCTGAAAATTTCTTAGCGGGATTGTATTCGACTCACAGAGAGGGACTCAGTATCAGAGATCGCCTTGCAACGCAGCGGTCTACTCATCGAAGCGGTATGGAGAACTGGAGCATGTTCGTGCTGTACAAAACCACAATACCAGAGAAAGCGCTTTTGAAGTAGTAGAAACCATCTTGTGGATTCAAAGATCCTCAGCTTAGCTTAGCTAGATAGGTGTCCAGCTAACTAAGCTGAGTGCCTCTAAAAATTTGAAAAGATCGCGAATGAGCCAATCTGATTATTTTTCTGTTGGTTCGGAATGTGGCGGTTGTAGCTTGTAGCGCTTTTGCCTGATGAGAGTGAGGTGCGGGTTCAAGTCACGCCCGTGGCGAAAGTTCTCTTCATAACCCAGCATTCTTGTGGAACATACGCAACAGGAACTGCGGCCTTGAAGCAACAGCCCATACGAGGTAATGTCCAAGAATCTGTTCTCTGGATGAGATGGAGTAGCATACGAGTCTCATCGATGTACCGTTGTAGCGACTCGTAGGTACGGGCAGATAGATATGATAGATTGTGTTCAAAAACGAGTCCTTCCCTCGCCATCATCCGTTACCTCACCAGTTCGATCCAAGGGTGTTGCTTTTTCGCAGTTTTTTGCTTTCTTCTCATTGATGGCCCAGCCGAAACACCACGCATTATTGATTTTCGGACGAAGAGTAACCAATGTGATCGCTTTGTTCTGCCTCTGTGCTAAAACGGTTACTGTCCAGCAGTGGGTTTAGCAAGTGGGGTAACCAATCGGCGACCGGGCAACAAGGACAGGCGCCCAAAAGGACGGTAAAAGCTTTGGTAGGCAGATACGAGCGCACCCCTCAATACTTATCCGCCCATACTTGTCTACTACCCGCCTCTAAGTTGGGCGAATCGCGCTCACATTTGTGCCGTTAGTTCCAGGCTGAAACGTTATTCCTTACAATGGCAGTACAACATACAGGGTGGAATAAATACGGTGACAACAATGAATCTCAAAAATGCAGCTATCCACGACGAGCAGATCTCCTGACGGGAATCAAATTCATCATTGTCCTTCACCCATAATTCTATGTTTTCTTGTGCATGTACGTAAATGTATTACGTATGCAAAACGGATGCGTAAAAAAGTGAATGACGTGATTTAGATTAGCGAAAAAGAACCTACACACGACAAAATAAGAACAGTACGACCACGGATAACTCACCATCACTTCTGAAGGTCCTGCCATTGTTGTATCAGATTGAAAACACGGCTTCAAATGTGAAAACGATAGAGGGACGTGTGTCTTCCAACAACTTGAAGACTCTACCGGCCCTAGGGTGAAGCTGAATCGCCTGCAAATTAGTTTTAGATTGCCATGGCTTGCGCCACGAAATTGAGTAAAGGTGCTATAGGGTAAGCGCTGACGAGGGGTAGAGACGAAATATCCATTCAAATGTTGATCTTGAAAGGCTTAGGACCGCTGGTTGGCACCGACTTCAAATCGCTCAACTCTGGACGTCTTCGCTATAGCATCATCCTCACGTTCTGGTCATCTCCCTCGCCTCAAGAATCGAATAATCCCTATCATCACTCGAATTTATGTCGTTTTCAGTTGCGATGAGTTAGCTTGTCAAAAAGCGGCTCCAGTTCGACGGTGTGGGAAGCATGAGTAAATTAGCTATAGATTCAAAGGCATCAAATTGAACGATGCAGAGTCGTTCAGCATCAAATTGAACGATGCAGAGTCGTTCAGAGCAGTTGTGGTATGGAAGTCCAGAATTCCCAAAACGGCAAACTCTCTTAGGCGTGCAAAGGGAAAACAATGTCGAGGAGAGTCAAGGTCAAGGAAAAATGTCCGAATGCAGATCGCGAATTGAGCTCGTACGAAGCTCGATGATAAATCGTCTGATTTGTTCAAACATATTTAGGCCCTCTACACTTACAAGGGAGGTCTTTCAGGACATGGAGCGCTTTTCCAAAATGATTTCCTGCACTTTGTAGAGCTCATGCGAGGAACACAAAACCATGGTCCATTTTTCCTGAACGCCTTCTAGGAATGTCAAAACAGTGGAGAAGAAATGGTCCAAAGTTCGATCCTCCGTGATGTCTAATTTTTGCAATTTATGTTGGCGCCTCCAAATTGTGTCCAAATGGCACCAGCGTCGATTAACATGTCATCCTCGTAATTTGGCGACAATTTGGAGGCTCCAACATGGATTGCAAAAATTTGTCACCACGGCGGATTGAACTTTGGACCATTTCTTCACCACCAGAAAAGTTCAGGAAAAATGGACCATAGTTTTATGTTCCTCGCATGAGCCTCAACAACATGCATAGGACCATTTCGGAAAAGCGCTCCATGACCTGAAAGACCTTCCTTGTTAGGCATTCCTTCCAATCACGTAGAGGACCGACAGATCTGCTGAAATGGCGCTTCATCACTTCACGTCTACGACTTCTGCTACTCTTCAGAATATTCAGAGCTAGTCCCCATTACACTTGATGTCACAGGGCATTTCAGATAGTTCAAGACAAATACAACTTTTTAATGTTGCAGGTTTGCCCTAGGAACCATAAATTTTCAAAAAACATGTTATTCGTTTGTACTGACTACAAACACATTCCACGTTTTATGTATTCAAGAAGAGAATGTGAATAAAAGCACGTGCTTCAAAAAAAGAAGCCTTAGAAGAGTTGCGTCAGGAAGAGAAGCCTCAGAAGAGTTTTCCTAACTATATCAATGCAATATATGGCATTTTAGTAGGCGCTCCGTCCAACCCAAAATCCCTCATTTACACGGTGAACTGCTTGCAAACAATAATTTTGTCTAGGACCCTCTCATGCTGTAGGGCAAAAATGTGCTGACCTGACAACTTCTTGGCACTATGGAAGCTGAAGATCAGCAGTTGCCTAAAACGCCGATTTTCGTTGCCTAGATGTTCTCCTTCTGGCTCTTCTATTTCGATGCAGTTAGTATTTTGAAGAAGCGTCAGACATTATTGAAAAGCACGAGAAAGACTTTTGACTGGTACAGGTCTTTTAATGGTTGAGAAGCACTGAATGAGTTCAGACACAGAAGCAAAAATGCTACGAACTTATGGAAAGCGTGTAGCATGCTGGGTGCGATCGTTTCTATTCAGCTATTCTCACCGAGGGAGGTGGGGGGGGGGCAGTTGATGGAGCATTCAGTGTATCAATCTTTCAGTCCAATTTGGTACCGATTAAGCAAACTTGGAGGGATGGGAAGTTCTGTTGACCTGGACAGCACGTGCTTTGACATTTGTATTCGAGATGGTCGTTTCTGTCAAAGGCACGTGTCGAATAGGGGAGCGAAGAGCTTTCAATTACACAAGGAGAAAGTCAGCTTTTCCTTCCTACAGCTGTCTTATTATTACAATAATTTTGGCGTTAGTTTAGACATGGAACTCCGACAATGACCTTGAACGGCTAGGCAACTACGTCATACACTGAACAAAGTTTCTTTTTCTCTCACGTGAGATTGTTTTTCAATGTTCCCTCCAAGCATCAATCAAACTCACTTGAGGGTGCGAGAACGTGTTTTCTAGTCGAATGCGTTGTTATCTGTCAATTTATTACTTTACTCAAAAAGAATACGACAAACAATTTTTTTCTTATGAGCTATTAGTTAGAGCTGCCACGAGTTCAACGCTTAAGTCTGTGGAAGAACTTTCGATTTTTGTGACAAACTGGGACTCATGTGCTTTCCTGGCAATTCAGAAATACATATCAATATCTGTGAAATATCTCAACACCTCAATATCACGACAAAATGTACACACACCTCATAACATCAAATAGCTTTAAATAGCTTTTCAAATTTGAAAAAAATGTCTGCAGCAGTAATCTCAGTGAACCGCAACAAGCTCGCTCTTCATAGAATAACTGTATGAACTTATGAAACCTATGCCCTTTTGATACATGATTTTTTCGGTGGGCATCTCAGAATCGAGTCAAAACAATTAAAGGTTCAAGTAGAGTAGGTCAAAGCG